AAAAGAAAATGGGAAAAAAAGAAAAAGAAAAAGAAAAAGAAAAAGAAAAAGAAAAAGAAAAAGAAAAAGAAAAAGAAAAAGAAAAAGAAAAAGATCAGGAAAGCCCCTGGTTACGGGCTGCTGACGACGACGCGGGTCCCGTCCCCCTCAAAGGCGGCCCAGAGCAGCCCGCCGGAGCCGGGGGAGGGGGCGCGGGCTGCGGGGGCCGTGGCCCGGAAAGGGCCCCCCGGGCCCCCTGCCGCGGAAGCGCCCGGGAGGGCGGTGGGGGCTCCGCGGGGCGGCCCCGCACCCTCCGGCCGCCCCCTCGGAGTCACCTCGAGGAGCGGCGCGGGGGGGGACACACGAATATCTCAATCAGCGCGGAGTGACCCGTGACCCGGAGGGTGGCTCCATTGTCCCGCTCTTGCGGGGGACACAGCCCCGGGCGAGCCCTTCTGCGTGACTGAGCCCTCGGGGGCAACGGCGGCCGCGGGCCGGGGCGCCCCGGGCTGGGCAGCGGCGCGGGGCCGCCCTGCGCGCTCCCGCCGCGACACCTCGCTGGGGACGGTGCGGGCGCAGGAAGGGGCCGCTTCTCCCCGCCGGCTCCTCGCCCCCATCTCCCTGGAAGATAACCCCCTCGCCCGCCCCAAGGATCGGGGCCGGCGGCTCTGAGCTCCCTGCGGCGGAGCTGGGCACGAGGCGGCGCTGCGGAGCGGCCCGCGCGGTCCCGACGGCTGCCCGGGGGTCCCGTCGGTGCCCGGCCCCGGGCGCTGCGCGGAGGACAGGGCAACGGCGGAGGGAGGAACGACACGCGTGGCCCGTGCCCGATGCATCCCCGGCACGGCCCGTCCACGCTCGCGGCGCCCGCTTCGCGCCGCGGGGCTCGCCCTCCCCGTCCAGGCCCCGCGGGGCTTCGCAGCAGGTGGAAGCGCCATCCAAGCCYTTCCCGGGTGGCTCCCGTTAAACCGGCCTCTCCCTCCGCCCCAGGGGCTGCCCACACCGGCCTCTGGCTGCTGGGGGGCAGCGAGGGGGCTCCGGGGCGTCCCGCTCCTGCCCTCGGGGGCCGGGGTCCCCCTGCCGCTGAGCGCGGCGTTTGTGCCTCGGATCCAGCCCATCAAGCAGCGGGGGAAGCGCCGCAGCCCAGAGGCCGGGGGAACGGCGGCCCCCGCTCGGCCCCTCCGGGCAGGGGCTCCCTTGGAGGGGGGCCAGGTGGGCAGCACCGACGACGGACACCGAGGGGTCTCCCGGGACCCCTAAGGAAGGGGAAGCGATCCTGCCCGCCCGGGAGCKGGTGGGAACAACGTGCTGGGCACTTCAGGCTCTCGCAAAAATAAATCCGAGCCCCGTCTGCCTCGCTAACAGCGCGGGACGCCGCGGGGCGGGGGGGCACCCGTAAAATTCCAATTCCCCACTCTCTGGGGGCCATATTTTCCCCACATCCACCGACACCAAGGGCAGACGCGGGGCTCAGGAGAGACCTCAGGCTAGACGAATCCCGCCGTTTCGAGCTCCCCGCGTTTCAGTTATCGAATACCCCGACGGGGCGGGTTTTCCGCGCCAGCCCGCGCAGGGAGCGCGCCCGGGGACGGGGGCACTGCGGGCGGGGACGCACACTTCAGCCTCGCCAACGACCCTTTAACCCGTCCGTCCGAAGGCGCAGCTCTGTAGCGAGAACCTGGTTTGGCAGGACCTCGTGCGATCGCGTTATAAAAAG